CCCGAGGGCGTCGTGACCGTCGCCGAGGCGTGTTCGGCCAGTAGGTCCTCCAGCTCGCTCTCCTCAAGACCTAGCGAGCGATACGCCTTTCTTAACGCCTTGACCTCTTCGGTGGTCACCACTTCGTCCGCCGCCGCCACACCGACCAGGAACTCGCCAACCACACGACGTTGCTGGTGGGTCAAGCGCTCCGAAAGCGTTTTGGTGACGGCGCTCTCTCCCGATTGCGAGTGGAGCAACAGGTACTGAAGCCGTTCCAGCCGCTTAGCGTCTCCGTCCGATAGATCGAACTGCCCTTCGAGGTGTTCGGTGATGAACTTAAGCTCACTACTGTCGATGCCGCCGTCCGCTTGGGCCACCGTGGCGCCAAGCCGCAGCAGCACGGACGCCGCCAGATAATTCGGCACGTCGCAAGGCGTCTGGTCGTCCAAGAAGAAGAGCGTCAGCCGCTCGTCCCACCCGTAGCTCTTGCCCGTGATACGAGCGTCGGGCTCTACACCAAGGCCGACGGCGTCGGCGGTTGCAAGCATCCGCGTACACTGCGACTTGGTCAGTGTCCCCCGCGGCTCGAAGCCCTTCAGGCTCGCCAAGGCCGAAGCCGGCACGACGGGCCAGCCCTCAGCGTCAACGTTCGATTCCCAAACACTCATCCAGGCGTCGAACTCGGGGTGATCGCCGCCCCGCAGCTCCGGCGGCATCGCCTCGTAGACCTCCGCTGTGACCTCGCCGTCGGCTTTTCTCGACGCCCGGCTGTAGGCCTTGAGGTCGTCGACGCACTGCTCCCAGATCGTCACCAAGCCTTTGAACTGGGACGTCAGGCCAAGCACGTTCGGCACATCAAGATGCTGAACCGTGTCGGCATTGCTAACCCCGTGCAGGAGGGTCGGGCTCGCCGGGTGGTAGTACAGGCGCTTAGGGCGTTTGCTGACGCGTACCGCTTGGCCAATTGCCGGAACCGCTTCGTACTTGCTCAGGAAGAGACGCGTGAACTCTTCCTTGTGGCGTCTCACGACAACGCTCGAAGTCGAACGGGGGTCGTTTTGACAGACCGCCATCGCCAGAGAGGCCGACAGCGGCCGGTTCCCGTGAACGAGCGCGGCAAGCGCCAGGGAAAGTAAGTCGTCGTTCCAACGCTCGGTCGCCTCGACTGCTTGGTCGAACAGTGTGTCTGTCAACTCGTTCGCGAGGGAGGCAAGGTGCACCGTGCGCCATAGCAGCATGCTGGCGTAACGGCGGAAAGAATTGGAGTAAGAATAGACCTTCAGGAGCGCCAGAAGCTCCGTAGCGATCGGCAGGAAGTCCGCCCGATCCACCAGAACTCGACGCTCCAGCCCGTAGAAATAGATGAAGACGTAGCCGAGTTCGACCTTCGGGTCACGACGACCGGCGAGGAGCCAGTCCAGGTAATGGGCGCGCTGAGCGGGCGAACTCTCGTAAAAACTTGGCCAGTAAGGGAGCTCGTGCCGTGGGGTGGCCCCCGCCGAGGCGACGCGTAGCGTGGCGTCGATAAGCGATGCGTCAAAGCGACCGCTGTTGGCGTATGCCGTTGCGTAGACGAGAGGGCCCTCTAGCACTCCGCGCCCCAGATCGAGGCGGCGCCCCGGACCGAAGAAGGCGATCTTGTCTCTTGGGGCGCTCGACTTGAGCGATTTGCCTTCTCGCTCACTGGTAGACGGACTGCTCGCCTGAGACCAGCGTGGCGTCGGGTTCCGCGCGGGCCGAACCTCGACGAGTTGGTCGTCGTAGCCACTAGCTAGCTCATCGGTCTGGACGTCCCGTTGGGAGACGGCGCCTCTGGGGTCGTAAGGCGGCGTCTCGTAGGTTCTGGTCAGCGACGCGATCCGATCTTTGGTGTGCGACATGACCGTCTGTGTCGCGTCGCTTTGACGGATGCGAGCCAACCACTCGGCCAACGCCCGGCGTTTCCAGACGCCCGCTTCGGTTGCAACGGCGACCGACACTAAGAACAACCCCGCCCCCGGCCCCGTCGTCACCGCTAATAACAAGAAGAGCAGCACGTGCCCCGTGAACCACACGACTGCCCACACCAACCGATTGGAGCCGAGGTCGGCTTCGTCTTCGGTATCAGGACCGGTCTCCGGCAGCCGGATAGCGCCCCGGCAGCTGGGGCAGGCGACGGTCTGGCCGGAGAGCTCCGCCCCCACGCTCAGTCGGATCCTGCAATGAGGACATGCGAAATCAGGCATTACACAGGGTGAAATGCGGAGTAAAAGACTGAGGGGACGAGGCTATCCTAGCAGAATCTTCTGGAGACGGTATCTGAGGTTGGAGCCGTCGGACCTCCCTCACCGAACGCAAGTTCGCGACGCGACTCGCCGCCGCAAGAAAGATCGCCAAGCGACTGGCCCGGCGAATGAAGGCGGCGCCGTACCGACCGTGGTTACCGATGCCGGTTCTCGAAAGCCAGGGCGATTGCACCTGCCCGATTAGGGGGCAAGTCAAGACTACGAAAACCCCAGTGAGCGTGTCCGCGCAAACAAAAAAAGCAATTACCTTCGGACGGATCGATCACGCCAGCCGTAAACCATGCGATCGTCCCTNNCCTCTGATCCCGGCGCCTCTTCAATCACGGACTCCAGCAACCCGCCATCGAAGAAGAATTCATGCAGTTCGTCCGATACTTCCACGAGACTTCCCGTCGAATCGACCCTCACCAGCGACAGGAGAGGGCAGACGCGGAGCAGTGCCGAAAGGTCTTCGTCGATCGACTCAACGCTCAAAGACCCCGGCAGTTCGCACGTCAGCGAAGCGGTCAGTCGGAACGTCTTCTTACCGTCGATGACCATCCACACCCGCTTTGACGCGCGTTGAAGCGAGTCGTTGGCGCCGAGGTCAGGCGGAATCGAAGAATAGTAGTCGTCCACGATGCCCATCATGAGCCGGGTCTGCCGCGAGTGCTCAGGCGGCAGGTCCGTGACCTCGTCGTCCTCGTAATCCAGGTCCCAGAGGAATCGGTCCTCATAAGCGTCGAGCAGGCGGTTCCATTCATCAAGGTCGTTGATGTCCTTGATGTCGTCGCGGGCGTTGAGGATGTCGAGGATGATCCGGCGGTATTCGCCACTTGTTCCTTCGTCAATTTCGAGATGGACAAAAGTCCGGATCTCATGGAGCACGCTCGCGAGCGTCGCCTCCGACCAAGCCGTGAGTGGCAGGCACTCGGCCGTTTCATGGAAGAGGTAACGGGCGACCACTTCTAGTGAAGCCAGCTGCTGGGAGCGGCTCATGCGGTCGAAGACCCTGGCCCCGTCGAAGTAGCGCTCTTCGTCCTCGGCCGCTCCGGCAACGACGTCGCACATAGAGAGAATGGCGTCGCGGAAGAGTCTTGCTTCGTCGCCGGAGAGCGCAACCTTTCCCGATTGTGCATGNNTCGACGACTCGAGTTTATGAGGCTGAAGAAGATGCTTCCCTGAGCATCCAAAGTAGGCATTGGGGGGAGTGTAGTACCTCGTCTAGAGCGTTGCAAACGTCTGCAAACAGGCGTAAGTCGTGTCGAGCGCAAGCACATTCTCAATGCCGAAGGAGGCGTCGTCGGAATGCGGTCGCACGGCGTTGATCGATGTACTCGTGCAGAAAAAACCATCGCCGCTCTGAAGGAAGACGGTCTGGGCCTTCCAAAGCTAACGATCGCACGACGCCCAGCGAACCGAGGCTGCCCACTGGCAGCACGTGGCAACCACCACTCCAAAAAAAACTTGACACGTACGGCAATATGCCGTATGATCGGAGAAGAAAAGAAAGGAGCGTCACCATGCTCGATGAGAAGAAAACCGCCCGGTTGGAAGCCCGTCTCCCTGCCGAAGTACATTCCCTCTTGAAAGAGGCGGCGGAGTTGCAGGGGAGGACCCTGAGCGATTTCGTGATCGCGTCCGCCCGCGAAGCGGCCGAAGTGGCGATCGCCCGCAGCCACGAGATCCGGCTCACGCAGGCCGAGCAAAAGCGCTTCGCCGAAGCGATCCTCAAACCGGCTCCCGTGGCGCCGGCGCTGCGTAAGGCGATGAAGGACCGCGAGCGCCTCCTGGACCTCTCATGAGCCAAAGATTTCGGCTCGAACTGCTGGGGAAACAGGACCGCTCCGCCTTTGACTGCGGCTCGGCCGCACTCAACGCGTACTTCCGTACGGGGGTAAGCCAAGATGTCCGGAGGCATTTCGCCACGTGTTTTGTGGCTGTCGACCAACAGCACGGCCGCGTCGCCGGCTACTACACGCTCTCGATGGGGAGCGTCGGCCTGCCAGACCTGCCGGAAAGCGTGGCAAAAAAACTCCCACGGTACGCCCAGGCGCCGGTCGCCCGACTGGGGCGGTTAGCGGTGGACGTGACCTACCAGGGCCAAAGGCTTGGGAGCGTCTTGCTGGCGGACGCGGTCTATCGGACAGCCCAGTCCGATGTCGCGGCGTACGCCCTCGTTGTCGACGCAAAGGACAAGCACGCGGCCGCCTTCTATGAGCACTTCGGCTTCTCGAAGCTCTCAAGCAACCCGATGACGCTTTTCTTGCCGCTGAGCACAGCGGTTAAGAAGCTGGGCACTAAGTAAGGGATCTTTTCCAGAATCACAAACGGCGACGTAGCTTGAAACCGCCCTGCTCAGCCGCTTTCGGCCAGGTATTTTCCCGAATCAAAGTTATCACATCCGCGGAGATGCCTACGACTACGACTTCGCAGCCCTATGCATCTGCTCTCCAATCGTCGTTATGTCCCACGGCTGAAACGATGCTCGAAGCTGCGTCAAAGTTAACGTTCGATGCGTGTTTGCAAGACTAAGATCGCTATGCAGCAGAAGTATGCCTG